TTGACAATATTATTGTAAACAATTTATATTCAATAAAATAAACAACTTTAATGAGTAATTGACAAAAATATATATACCGTAAAATCTATTAATAAAATATATTTTTTCATATTAGTTCCTAATGAATTAGAGTGAAATTAGTATATAAATTTGAATAAAGTCAAACTATACCTAAATTGTGGCACTTTTGTTCAATGCATACACTTTACAATCGAGTGATATATACGCTATGAAACTAATTCTGATTATAACTTCAAGTATAGGAAACTCAATACTGTATAACCGATAAGGAAATCAAATTTTCAGATCTAATCAGTCAATTAAGAAGTGATTCAAATCCAAACATTTTATTTTATTATTTGAATTAATAATTAATTTAGTTATAATTCTTAAAAAGCTATAGAAAATAAACTCTCATAACATATTTGAGTAAATATCGACGAAATAATCAAATATATTAAACAAAACACATTCGTAAACAAGTAATTGAGTTTTATAAATCAATAAAACAATTATCGTATGACTCGTAAACGCAATATGACTGACAATCAGTAAATTAAAACCAAACCTATTGTAAGCGTTTTCTATATTAATAACTAAATGTATATAATATTAATTACATGTAAAAAAGGAAAATAAAATTTGATAATAATATTGAAATGTATAGTAATTGAATAATGAATGCAATTGACGTTAATTAGAGTGACTGTCAATAAGACTGGTTTNAACTAAATGTATATAATATTAATTACATGTAAAAAAGGAAAATAAAATTTGATAATAATATTGAAATGTATAGTAATTGAATAATGAATGCAATTGACGTTAATTAGAGTGACTGTCAATAAGACTGGTTTTCATCGATAAGTAATGAATGGATCGCACGAACAGCAGAAAACAGATCAACGAGAATATGACGTGTAATGCGATCAGACCTCGAGATCCATTCCTCACCTGCGATAGAGTGCCAAATATGACCCCAAACGCCACCAAGAGAAACACGAGCGCCAGCATCAGGAACACCATTCCGCGGGTGCGCGCGAACTCCCGGCCCACAGACGACAGCTTTCGACAGTGCGGACAACGGGCTAAGTTGTTCTGCAGGGTATTGAAGAGGAATGACTCGTGACAGTGGCCACAGATGACACGACACATGCCCGGCACCGGTGCCATCGTAGGCGCACTCGTGTTCACCACCATCTGGTTGACCGACAAATTGATAATCCGTTTGCTATACAGACAACACATAGGTTACTACGAGAGGCATTGGACAGACAGTGCCTACCATTGGGGTCGCGGACACGCGATTCGTTGAGCACTGGCTTTGCATACGAGGAGACAATTGCAGGGACAGCGCACGTACTTCTTGCCCGTCGGCGCACTCTTTATGGGCTATCAGTAGACATACCACTCATTAGACACTCATCTCATTAGACACTCATTCAGACTCTACAGTCACTCCTGCCTTACCGTCGCTTCACTACAGTTATCACACTTAACGACGTGTTGTTCCCGTTTGCCTGTGATGTCAATCATAGAGCCGCAGACACGACAGGCCACCATCACAGGCAGGCCTCCCGTGAGGGACGCGCTATAGGGCGGCGGCAGTTCGTCCGGTCCTATCGACGGCACCGTTACGTACGACTCGGTATATGAGGGGCCGTTCACTACGAGACCACAAACACAACCATCACTTCGTGAGTCAATTATATCACCCATTCTTACGATTGTTAGGGAAGTGTCCGTTGGGTGACGAGTAGGTCGCCGCTGATGTCGAGGCCAGAGGCGGTGCCTGAGCTGACGACTGGGCCTCAGACGCGCCATAGAAGTCGCCGCCAATCAGTGGAGTCCGCTCTTCGGATGTCTTGTTGTATGACATGTCTTGTGGTGAACAGAGAGACAATCAAACGGTGCAGTGATATGCCATTCAAAGCGTAGATTCAATTGAATTGTATATGAATTTCACTGTAAATGACAGACAATTGTAATATAAATAAAACGTCATATCATATGATATCATATTATGCCTACAATTCATGCCAATATTTGGCCCCTTTTTATACAAACATTATACGCATTAAAGCAGTGCGTCTATACGTAAAAGTACTAAATGTTTGCCGACATTGTTTGCAATATTTACAAGACTCTCATAACAGTGTGTGTGACCACAGATGGCAGCACTGCATCTGTTCATTGAAAATGTGATCTTCAGACAGGAATTGAAGCAACGATTGCATCAAATGCTGTCAATTGAGGCCTAATTGTCATGAATTGAATGCACAGTAAATGCAATCATTTGTGAAACCATTGCTTTGGACACCACTTGCCATACGTTTGACCAGTGATTGAGCTGTCATTCAGTGACCATATATTTGACACTTTATTATGGATTTAATGAACTTTTTGATTGAATCCCAAAAGCAATTGACGGATCAGTTGAATGGCAGTGAGAGTGGTGTGGCATCTGATCCACAGACCAATGCAGACATGAATCCAATGGCAATGAAAGCCAAACTAATCGATGCCTTCATATCAATGCGAAACACATTGAATGCACTGAAAGGACACAAGAAGTCTGTGATCAGTGAAGAAGTGGTCACAAGACTTGATTCCGTGAGATCTGTACTCAATGCCCGCAATGGCTTATCGGGTAAATCGGTGGTCACTCACGTGCGAGACATTGATGAACGGGTCCGACGAATACACCGAAAGCTTAACCATTATCTGAAAGACGCCGACAAACAAAACCTCTTCAAAGCACGTGATGTCCACTATTATCGACGACAGAGACTACAACTGAAGAGCAAAGTGGAGGAATCGATGCAACGATTGAACCAATTGTTGGCAATTAATGGCAGAATCGATGAGTTGTCGAAAGTATTGAATCCATTGCTCCACAAACGAAACTCACTTTTGGGCCAAAAGATGCTTTTGATGCGAAACATTGAGATCTCTATGAAACACAGGAATGAACTCAAACTCATGAGTAAACTCGTGTCCAAAAAGAGAAAACTCTTAATAAAGCCTTAAAATGATAATTATTTGAGATTTTGTTTCATAAATTGACTGTTTATGAAATTCAATACAATTTCAATGTGTTTAATATTTTGCATAAAAGTTTTTTCAAATTTGTTGTTCAATTCAAGGATTTCTAACTATTAAAGTACAGTCACTTACAGTAATATAATTGTCATTTGTGTGCTTTCTGTAGATTTAATTTGTTAACAGACGTCTGAAGTGCGAAAATGTCTTCATTATAATGGATAGTTTTGTTAAATAACTGCAATTTAATTCATTTTAAAGAGGGTTAACTATTTTAATGATATTAAGGTCACAATGTTATGGAAATTCCCGACTATTTTGTGTAATGTTTTCCCAAAATTAGGGAAATTATGGATTCGAAAGGCAATGGGAAATGAATGCAATTAGAAATCCATAAGAATCGATGAGTTGTCGAAAGTATTGAATCCATTGCTCCACAAACGAAACTCACTTTTGGGCCAAAAGATGCTTTTGATGCGAAACATTGAGATCTCTATGAAACACAGGAATGAACTCAAACTCAGGAGTAAACTCGTGTCCAAAAAGAGAAAACTCTTAATAAAGCCTTAAAATGATAATTATTTGAGATTTTATTTCATAAATTTACTGTTTATGAAATTCAATACAATTTCAATGTGTTTAATATTTTGCATAAAAGTTTTTTAAAATTTGTTGTTCAATTCAAGGATTTCTAACTATTAAAGTACAGTAACTTACAGTAATATAATTGTAATTTGTGTGCTTTCTGTAGGTTTAATTTGTTAACAGACGTCTGAAGTGCGAAAATGTCTTCATTATAATGAATAGTTTTGTTCAATAACTGCAATTTAATTCATTTTAAAGAGGGTTCACTATTTTAATGATATTAAGGTCACAATGTTATGGAAATTCCCGACTATTTTGTGTAATGTTTTCCCAAAATTAGGGAAATTATGGATTCGAAAGGCAATGGGAAATGAATGCAATTAGAAATCCATTGCTTGCGGCCATTAAGTGTATTACACTTTTACTAATTGTTTACAAACTTACAAATTAATTATTTGTTGAGTCAGTCATTTCACACAAAATACTAAATAAGCAAAAGGTCGCCAAAAAACTTTGGTTACGGCTTTCCACTAAACTACGATGATGAGTTTATGGCTATTCAACCTACGGTACAATAAAAACAATACAAATACAGTAAGACTTCTATAAATAGCTTGTTTAAATAAATCTAATGTTAATTACAAAGCTTTATACGGTATAAACCATTAGACTGTCATTTATGTCTTAAATTTCTTATTTGTTTTTTCAAAGTTTCAATTCCTTTATCATTCAAAAGAGGTTTCATAAGCAAGTGAAGCGGAAATTAATTGAATGTATTTTTGCTGTTATGGGAAATAGTGAATAGATTTTGCAAACCTATTATTACATAACAGTCGACAGTATAGCAGAAATTGTTGTGAATTTTGAGTGAAATATAGCTAATAATTAGATCACATCAAACAAAATGAGTACAAAAAACAATGTTTCAGATGTGAATGAAAACTTTTGAAAGTTTGCAATTCATGCATACGATATAAATATAAACATAAAACATGATAAATACTGTATGTGTTTCGTATTGAAATGTTAAAATCTTTTGAAAAACAAAACATTTATTGAAAAGCGCTGTAAAAGTGGTATAAAAGTTGTCCTAATGTTCCACTTATTGCACATATTTTTAACGCTAAACACATGACGTAATGCTAATGATTAAATGGTTAAGAAAAGTCCAAAACATGATCGCAATGGCAGTAATGTTAAGCTGATTGGAGACCCCCTCGAAAACACTTGTTTATTAAACCCGTCAGACCTCAAAACCTGTTCCAACCTGTTATACCACTTACACATCAGAGATAGGGATGGCATGTATTGCCAGTAAATGCAAGTAGTTTTGCCTCAAAGCGAGGACAAGTATAGACTTACCACTCCATACACTCTGTACCAGTGTTTGATGTGAAGAACAAGTTGTAAGTTATTTGAGTTAAAATGTTGGCAACAATTCAGGAGACACTACGAGTGACTTGTGTTTAATCAGAAAGCTTTCCAATCTATACATCGCTGCAAATGTTTTGCGAAAAGTCAACTTTTTTCACTTGTTGTGGGTTTTTATTTGTGCAATCATTGGATAATTATCTATAAATTAATATAAAAAGTATTGGCTTTTCATATGATCCATGTCATCGCCAGTACTCATCTATACATAACTAACTGCGGACTCAACTCTCCGTTGGTTGTGTCTGTCATCACAACTGCAATACAATGCACTTCACATCCATTTCCTCATTCAATACATTATTCTCGACACTATTCTTGATATTTATATACATCTATTGTATAAGCATTTCATGCATTCATTGTTTCGCTACCTGTCCTCCCAATCAACTCATCCAAACATTAGTGGCAAATAAGAGTGAATCGGGCTGTGAGTGCACTCAGATCCAGGAAGGGGGCTGGGAGGTCATCTGCTATAGTGATCACACCGTGTCCGACGTGACCACTTTAAGTTGTAAGTTATTTGAGTTAAAATGTTGGCAACAATTCAGGAGACACTACGAGTGACTTGTGTTTAATCAGAAAGCTTTCCAATCTATACATCGCTGCAAATGTTTTGCGAAAAGTCAACTTTTTTTCACTTGTTGTGGGTTTTTATTTGTGCAATCATTGGATAATTATCTATAAATTCATATAAAAAGTATTGGCTTTTCATATGATCCATGTCATCGCCAGTACTCATCTTTATATAACTGCGGACTCAACTCTCCGTTGGTTGTGTCTGTCATCATAACTGCAATACAATGCACTTCACATCCATTTCCTCATTCAATACATTATTCTCGACACTATTCTTGATATTTATATACATCTATTGTATAAGCATTTCATGCATTCATTGTTTCGCTACCTGTCCTTCCAATCAACTCATCCAAACATTAGTGGCAAATAAGAGTGAATCGGGCTGTGAGTGCACTCAGATCCAGGAAGGGGGCTGGGAGGTCATCTGCTATAGTGATCACACCGTGTCCGACGTGACCACTTTGCCTCTGGAGGACGAGTTCCGAGAAGTTCCCTACGCTTTCTTCATTAGATATGAGATCCAACGACAGGTTAAGATCACATGTTATAATGGAGTTCCACTCTTCAGACCCGCACTCTTCCAAGGTTTGACTC